TTATATATATATTGTCACATCACTACAAACTATATATATTTTTTTTAAATTCAAAAAATTTTGGACCATTTCTTGATTTATGTGTGTCATCCTTGCGCAGGGGCCATGCTAATCTTCTCTGTATCGTTCCAATTTTAACAGATGTCCCGAAGGACATCTGCGTCAGATCTTGACTAAGTTGCGTGACTCTAACTTCAAGATCAACCCGAAGAAGTGTGAGTGGGCTAAACGCCGAGTCCTGTATTTGGGAAACGTGGTAGATGGACTGGAGGACGCCATGATAGCAGCAATTTGTGGCTGGCCAACCCCACACACGCTGACTGAGTTGCGGTCGTTCTTAGGATTGGCCATTTTCTACCGGAAGTTCATTCGTAACTTCACTGCCATTGCTGCTCCCTTGCGCAGGCTGCTGCGGAAGGAAACCATTTGGAAATGGGACAAGGACTGTACATCAGCCTTTAAGAAGTCGAAGAAGTCCCTCATCGAGTACCTGGTCCTCAAAGTACCACATCCGACTTTACCGTTTGTTGTTACTACCGATGCTAGCCTGTATGGCATTGGCGCTGTTCTCCAACAGAATGATGGAGAGGGGTACATGCCCGTTGAGTTTATGTCTTGCAGGCTCTCTAGTGATAAGGTAGTAGCCTCGACTTATGAGTGTGAGCTCTTTGCCCTTCGACAGGCTCTGGACCATTGGCGGCATGCGGCATTACCTGCTAGGGCAACACTTCAACGTATATTCAGATCATGAGACTTTGTGTTGGTTGAAGACCCAAGGCCGAATGACTCCTAAGTTGACTAGGTGGGCTGGGGAAATTGACCAGTTTGATTTTGAGTTGAAACCAGTCAAGGGTAAGTACAACGTCATCGCTGATGCATTGAGTAGACGTGCAGATTTCTTTGGTGCAATTGTGACTTACCTAGATGCTGGTGCAGATTTGCAGCAAAATATCAAGGCTGCATATGTTGACGACCCCATGTATAATACGTTGATAAAGAAGGTGCGGACCACACCGCAAGAAGTGCCTGATTTCAGAATGGCTGATGGAATGCTGTTTGACAAGACTGATGTCAATGATAGGCTTTGCATACGATGTAGTGAAGAGGTACGCAGTCTGATCCTAGGGGAATGCCACGATACTGAAGGCCACTTTGGTTGGCGGGAGACCTATGTTAGTCTACTTATATTGTACAAGTGGCCAGGCATAATGCATGGTTGCATCACCTACATCCAAGGCTGCCAAGTCTGTCAGAGAAACAAGAGTTCCACGCATCCTCCCCTTGGACTGTTGAAGGCCCTGCCTATTCCATCCGGCCCCCGGTGAATCTGTACCTATCCATTTTATGGACGCTAAGGTCAAGAGTAGTAGTGAGAAGAGTCGAGTCATGGTCATAGTTGACAGGTTTAGTAAGTTTGCCATTTTTGTACCATTACCTGCTGAAGCAAAGACAGATCTGGTCATCAAAGAGTTCTTTAATCAGTGGGTCAAGGATTACGGTCACCCATTGAGCATAGTTAGTGACCGAGATACCCGGTTTACAGGGAAACAGTGGCAGCAGTTAATGAAGGTCTACGGATCCAAGTTAGCTATGTCATCTAGACGCCACCCTGAGACAAATGGCCAGACCGAGCAGATGAACAAGTACTGCGTATGTATATAAGACCAGACCAGGTAGATTGGGATGAGCGACTTCCCAAAGTAGCCATGCATATAATAACTCAGTTCACCTAGCTACCTCGCGGACCCTGAATGAGCTGCATAGAGGCTGGAGTCCCCGACGTCCAAGAGACTGTATGAATCTGGATCAGATCCAAAGGTTGCCAACTGGCACACGTGAGTTTGCCATTCAGTATGAGAAGGATTTGCAACATGTGGCTGAGAACATCAGGAAGGCCCAGCATCAGATGATGGAACAGGCAAACAAGCACCGCCGTCCGTCACAGTTTGCGATAGGTGATCTTGTCTGGGTCAAGTCTAAGGAGTTTATTCCCGAGGCAGGGATATCGCAGAAGTTGCTACCTGCCTACAGAGGGCCGTGGCAAGTGCTAGATGTCAAAGGTGACACAGATGGACCGTCATACACCATCGAGATTCCACCCCATCCACACACCTATCCCGTTTTTCAAGCTTCTAAGCAGATCTATGATTCCACCTGATATGGACAGAAGATACGATGTAGAGAAGATTGTGGCTGAGAATACCTTCTGTACAGGTCGTAGAGGGAGACACAAAGACAATACAAGGTCAGATTTGCTTATCAGGATCCCAGCGAAGATCGCTGGTTCACCAGGGATGAGTTAGTTCAGACAGCCCCTTGTATCGTGTCATATTATGAGCAGGCACGCCGAAGATTGAACATCTGTGATCGTTGAAGTTCTGATTTTTCTTGGAGGACCGCAAAATTAGGCCAGTGGGAGTGAATGGATTCACGCTGTAAGCTTTCCCAGTCCCGGTTCTAAGGTCCCTAATTACCACAGTCCAGGCCCCAATAGTTTAGAGTATTAGGGCCTGTAGGATCAGACACCGTACGTCATTAGGCTACAGTACCGTACAGTACCGGTAGGAGCATGTGAAGTCCCCAAAAGTCAGGAAATTTCCCAAAATAGCAATTGGCAAGGCAGAGGCTGAAGGAGGCCAGTACCAATTGAATCAGGCACGAAAGAGTCCACTACAACTATATATCTTGGACTACAGTGCCGGAGGCAGTCAGTTGTTCATTTTGCAAATTTGTGGAAGCGCTGCTGGGAGCTTGTGCAGACTGGCGACCTGGACAAAGGAGAACGCTGAAGGGAGGAAGAAGACCAGCACCCTGGCTGTTGCACCATATCCAGGAGGGAAGAGACAAAATGTTTGGCGGCCGTCACCGCCGGTTTGCAGTGAGACACACCGCGTATGTATTCAGGGTAGATCTGGGACATTGTACATAGAGGAACAGTGAGTGAGGAACAGTAAGCGAGGAACAGTACAAGTGCGAGAGAAAGAGGAGTATAGAGAGAGAGAGAGCGGGAGAGAAAAGGAGGAGGAGGAGGAGAGGTACATACCTGAGGAGCGTTGCAGCGGTTGAAGTCGCTTATTCCCGAATTTTTTGACGTGTATATTATTGTGCTTTAAGTGGAACGTCGAATTTGCACTGTTCATGGACACCGCTCAAGCTTGTGTGAACGTCATCTGAATGTTCTCAATTGCATGTTGTATTTGAGTTGAATCTTGCGAGGTTCGTTGCAATAACATTTTTTCCCAGAATTTTATTTTATTATTATTATTATTATTATTATTATTATTTATTATTATTATTATTATTATTATTAACATAACAGCGACCCGCAGTCATGACCGCAGGGTCGCGGCCTCGACTGCGCCTGGCCGCCGTGGCGGGGGATACATAGCCTGGAGGACATATCACCTCAGTTTTTATTTGTCCCTCTTTGCTTGTTTTTGGGAACTTTTCTTGTGTACTGCTCTTTTTCCTTGCTACTTTTCAGCTCACTGCCCTGTGGTGTTTGTCTGCACATTCCTCCCCCCCCCCAATGCCCTCCAGCCTTTCTCCCTTTGCTGTCGCCTGTCATCGAATGCCTTGTTGCTTTCTGCACTCTGCTTCACGGTCTTTCATGCCTTGCTGCCTTTGCCTTCCTGTCTTTTGGCTACCTCCCTTTTGGGTTACTGCTTTTTCCTCTGTAGTTTGTTGCTTCATCATGATGGCCTTTGCTATGTGCATTCGTTTCAGGTGCATACCTGGCTACGGGTTCGTTTTCAAGTGTTGCTTACATTAGCCTTATAACTTATGCGAATACTTTTCAAAATTTCAATGCGACGTATTGCATGGTCGCAGAAGTTTGAATGCTACGTAAACACACACAGATCAGTTTACCGTCAACGTAGATGCATTACTCACCAACGGCTATCGAGAATGGTAACTGTGGAAGAGGATTGATCTGTAGCAGGAAGCTGCTCTTCATAATAGCAACCGTTGCACAGCTCGCGCACACACGAGAATAGGTACTAGGTAGGGCCTGCGACAGCACAGCATTCTTCCATGATATTTTCACTCCATATTTTTTAATACCTGCCATACACTCAGTAGGCTGCACTGTCCCCCCAACGGCTGTGAAAACATCTTCTCGCCTGCAAAGGGCAGTATCAGCAGGGCCCGCTTGAAACTAAACTGACAGCCTGTCAAAGCACTCCTGAACCCTGAAGGGTGCATCGCATTTACAGTCGCGTCGGAACATTTTCTCTGGGAGAGATGCTGGTCGTTTAATTGCATGCATTGCTGCCAATTTGCATGTAAGAGAAGCCTTGTTGGCAATACAAGAACCAATTCCATCAGCAACCTACACACGCAATGGCACACCATTGTCATGCTTCCTTCACAATCTTTTGCCCGCACTGGGGGTAAGAATATGTCAACAGAAAAGGGAAAACCATTGAAACCATTCAACATTTTCTTTCCCGATTGCACCATTGAAACCATTCAACATTTTCTTTCCCTGCAATCGGGAGAACACATGACCGCAATTAACAAAACTGATCACTTCCAACATCTGAGTAACTTTCTTCGCTTCTCAACTTCGACTCTGTTGAAATTCCGTACTCAAGGTGCTGAGAACACTGTGGCCGTAAAGACGTCATGTGTTACACAGAGGACTGAAAAGGGAATGGAGAAAATGCGCATGCGCAAAAAAAACAGAGAGAGAGAGAGGGGAGAGAGAGAGAGGGGGGGGGAGAGAGAGAGAGAGAGAGAGAGAGAGAGAGAGAGAGAGAGAGAGAGAGA